ACGCGGACCCCCGCCCGGCTCCCGTCCCAAGGCGCCAGCTCCCCTGCCCTGTCCTGTTCACTGTAGGACGATTGTTCGTTTTTGTCTTCTTTTTTAACTTTTTTTTTGGAGAACGACGGATTGGGGGCGGGCTTGTTTGCTTGCTTCCTCATTCTGACCTCCCAAGGTTCACTCCTCTGCCCAGGTAGGTCGTGCGTTGCCGCCTGCACTGCTTCCTCCTTGAACAGACTGCTGGACTACACAACTGAGGAGCGAGTGTTTCAAACGCAGGCACAGTTCCCCTGGAGTCCTGTTCCCGGCGGCGGTGAGGTGGTTCCCAGGCCCGCCTACCCAAACCCCTCTCTAACCCAGCGACTAATGCACCGGGCCAGGTCCATTCCGCACTGCAGGACTGAGCGGCTGCCTGCTGAGACCTCTCTAGCGGGCCTGCGCTTAGCATCAACACTGCCTTTCCTGGAATGTAATGGTCACGGACCTGCTGATGGAACCGAGAGGGAAGTGATCTGAGAACTCGGGGCAAATGTTTTACCCCTCCGCCCCCCAAATCTCAACCACATCCCACAGTTTGGCTGGAAATTCTGCCCACTTTGAGTTCTCTTTCGTCCTTTGTGCCAGCACCTCCTTGTACAGGCCAAAAAATTTGAGTAGATCCTCACATCTGGCTGCTATATTTTCTCTAACATGTATATGTGGCTTACTCTGTGCTCGACTCTTGTAAGAACTTAACATATATTAACCAATTTAAAATCTTCCCCATCACCCAGTGAAATATGTACCATTATCCTCACATTACAAGTGGGGAAACTGAGGCCCGGGAAAGTCAAGTAACTGCCCAAAACACAAAGCTCTTAATTAGTAACGCTGAGATTTGGATCTGAGTACTTTGCGTCCAGATTAGGGTCCAGGCCACTACATACACCAGCTCTCCATATGTTATGTCCCATTGCTTTTTGTATTAACCACCATGCGGTAATCCTTTACTACCCTTTGTATACACGAAGGTGGAAGGAAGACAGAGCCCCTAGGAGACAAGAGAGAAAGGCCCAAGGCTCCCCCTAAAATGTGTTTATTGTGTTGCACCAAACACCTTGTAGGCAGCCTGGTTGTATCAGGTGTACCACAGCCACTATGAGAGATATTTGCAGCAGGCTTCAGTGACATACCAATCCCAAATGACTGTCCTGCAGCCTGTCTGGGTAATTCTGCCCTTCTGCAGCCCTCCTCATTCAGGCCCACAAAGAGCTCCGCCCCTCCCCATGACCAAAGAGAAAGTTTGACCCTGCACATTTGCCAGCCCACCTTTATTCTTTATAAGCAATCTCCCCATACCCATACTGAGTTCAGTCTGTGCACTATTTCCCATTGTGTGGCAGCCTGAGTTCTACTAAAGCCTCTTCTGGTGGCACACTCATGATTCCTATCTCAAGTAGAGCATACTGAGTTGGTACACTAACCTGGTAACACCAAAGGCTCCTGGTGCCAAAAGCAACCAGCAGCTGGAGCTGGTAACACTGAAACCAGCCTGTAGCGGAGAACAGAGACTCATGAAAAGTAGCTGGGAGCTGCCATCTCTGGTGGCCAGAAGAGGTCCTGAGACCTGCTGGTGGCTGTTGGCTCTGAGTGACAGGGAGGGCCACTGACACTGAAAGAGCTACACTCTGCTAATTTGTAATTTCTATCCGAATTGAGCAAGGACCCGCAGCTGATTGGTAACATCTTAGAAGTTGGTACAGTGATCCTCCTTTTTAGAGGGCCCTGAGAAGAGGGCAGACAATAGTGATGGCTGAGAACTCATGATAGCCAGTGTCACACTGCAACTTTCTGTGGTCCTCAGGCCCCATGTGTAGCCCTCAGCCACCCATAGGTGTTGCACTTCTGGGGAACTGTACCTTCAAGGCCTCATCGCTCCCACCTCACCACCTACCTCTCTGTCCCATCCCTCATCTCAGGCTCAGGAGGATCAACTTTCCCTGGTTGGTTTCGGGTTACTTCCTCTTTTTGAAGAAGACACGATATTTGTGTCTTTCAATCAACTCGGCTTAATTTCTTGGTGGACTTGTCCTCTGAAGCAAAGGCTTTTATCCTCCTCCCTCCGCAGTAACCGTCCTCAGCCTTCAGTCTCAGTGTCACTGTCACTTCCTCAGAGAAGCCTACCCTGCCCCCAACTAGGTGAGATCCCTTGTCCTTAATGCAGGTTCCCATAGCACCATGCCAGTTATTTATTTGATTAAAATTTCTGTCCCCACCATATGTTTAAGTCACTAAGGTAGTTTTAATTTCCATTACTCTAAAGACTAACAGTGGGGAACATATTCTCATGTACTTATTTGCTATCCATATCTGTTTGGTGAAGAGCGTTGAAATATTTTTCCTATCTTTTAATAGGATTTTCATTTTCTTATTTTTAAATTGTGAGGATCCGTGATCAGATATATGCTTTGCAAATATTTTCTCTATCTGTGGCTTGTCTTTTTATTTTGTTATGAATTGTCTTTTTTTGGTACTGGGTATCGAACTTGGGACCTTGCTCTTATGAGGCAGGCGGTGGCAGCACCACTGAGCTAAATCCCCGCCCTGAATGTCTTTTCATTCATAAGAAACTTAGCTTTACTAAGTACAGTTTATCAATGGTTTTTTATGGCTTATGAGTTTTATGTCTTAGATAATCTTTGTCTAAATCAAAAGCACAGATTTTCTTCAATGTTTTCTTCTAGAAAAACGCTGTCTAATAAGTAGCCAGTAGCCAAATATCCCTACTTAAATTGAAATTAAAATTTTAAAATTCAGTTCTTTCATCTTTCATCTCATTTCAAGTAGTCAGTACCACTTGTAGCTAAAGGGTACTGTGTTGAGCAGCACAGGATTATAAAACACTTCCATCATTGCAGAAACTCCTCTTGGAAAATGTTACTATCAAAGTTTAATAGTTTTCAAGAGTTACATTTGGGTCTGTGCTCCGTTTTGACCTAACAAACTCATTTCTGAGTATTTCAAAAGAAAGAGAAACACACATCTACCTGAAAGCTACTGGGTAGAATAGCAGTTGTACTTTTGATTGTCAAGCCCTAGTTAAACCCAAATGTCCATGAGGTATGAATGAGTGGGTGCACGGGCTATGGTTCAGCCTCCTGATGGGATTATTACTCAGCAAAAAGAATGAATGAAAGGTACAGAACAAGATGGACGAATCACATAAGTATTATGTGAAAAGAAGCCAGCTCAAAGGTTATATCTTGTGTGATTCTATTTGTCACATTCCAGAAAAGACAAAATTGTGGGCATAAACATCAGATTAGTTGCCAGGGGGAGATGTCCTCCCCGAATCCGCTCACGGAATAAGGCTCGGGAGGGTAAGGCAGGAATCACCACCAGGCAGACTCCAGAGAGGTTTCTGGGACGCTTTCGCTTTATTCAGGAAATTCACAGGCTTATATAGGGAACCATTGGGGAGGAGCATTTTAACGTTTGGCGATATCTTATTGGCCAGACATGGCGGAGTGATTTTTCTTGGGCAAGGTGAAGGAGTGAGGTACTAGGGGCGGAGTTGTAGCTTGTTGGACCCAGCTGCATTTAAGCGATTTAGCTCAGGACACAGGCGTGAGGTGCACCTGACCCAGCCAGGCCTGAACTTCTCCCAGAGGGAGAGGCATGCAGAGCAGGTCAGCAAGACTCGACAGAGTTCCAAGGTGAGAGGGCACACTGGTCATACCTGAGTCTGCCGCCTGGCAGCATAGTAGCGCTGATGAGGAAAGGGCATTATAAACTGAGAGCATTTGGCTCATTAAACTCTGTGATGAGCGGGACCTTCAGGTCTTTCTTGCGTCCTCTAGAAATAGAAGCCAGGAAGAGCAGGATTCATGAGTTGTTACCCATCATCGCACAGGGAAGCAGCAGGTGGGCAGTGCCCAATGAGACTGTTGAACAGTGAGTGTCTTGCTGTGGGGGCACAGGGTGCTTGAGGGTTCCCCTCTCCTCCCCATCACGTTAAAACAAAACCTGGGGACCAGGGATTTGGCTCAGGGGTTCTGCCGCCTGCCTCACAAGTGCAAGGCCCTGAGTTCAATCCTGGTACCACCAAAACAAAAAACAAACAAACCTGGCATTCTGTGATTCTGCAGCTGTGGGATATTTGACTATTGCAATTTGTAAGTGATAGAGTGACCTTGTTTGTACCCTCAGCTAATGAGAGCTGGGGACACTCTTATTACAGAGGATAATAGTCCGACTCTTCACTTCAAGCAATAGAAACTTAAGTTTAGCTGGTTTAATTAGAAAAACATATTTATTAAAAAGATACTAGAGGGGCTGGGGATGTCTCTCAGTGGGAGAGCACTTCCCAAGCATGGGTAATGTTCTGTGTTCAATCAGAGAGAGCAGGAGGGAGGAAGATACTAGGTAGCAAATCTATTCATACCCTCAAATATCCACCCAGAGGTGAATGGCTAAATAAACAGCAGTACATCTATGTGCAGTGTAGTACTAGTCAGTGAAAAGCAAGAGACTGTTGATACATGAACTCTCTCTACCAAGAGAGTGCTTTGCTCCCTCTTTCTAGTCACTAGTTCTGTTTTCATAGACCGGGGCAGATCCCTTTTGTCTGGTGGAATCTCCATCACTAAACTTGGTAAGGTAGGAGAATTCCCCAGACATAGGAAGTGGGCGCTGTCCACCAGGACAGCAAGCACCACCTCCCTCATAGAGTTGTCCTGAATTGGCCTCTTCAGCCCTTGCAGGGCTTCGTGTCATAGGGCCACAACTGCTCACCGTCCAGGTCACTAGGATGGGTGACAGGGTGTCACTGTGTCCTCTAGAAGCTCTAGACAAACTGACCTATTGGCAGTTTCTGCTTTGACGTGTTTCATTACGTAAATCTCACTTTCTACCTCTGAGCCCTCAAAGGCCAGAGGCAATGAGGAGACACAGAGCTGTAAATGATATATAGTTGTTACAGTGCACCAGAGGGGATGGAGTTGAAGGCAAGTTGACAGGGGTCAGCTTACTTGGATGTATTTGGCCTTTGGCAAAAACTGCGGTGGAGGAAGGAGTCCTCAATGCCTTCAATTCCACAGAACACCAGAGTGGCTCCTGGATGGTTTATTTCCACTCTGGCAGTTGGCTACAGTGCTTCCTTTAGGCTATCCATATATTACTGTAGGAAAGAGTCTTATGGCAATTTATAGGTCCTAAGTACTTTCAGGTCATTAGCAAGTTGCTCTCTGAATTTTCGGATCAATGTTAACGTCTTCCATTTTAAGTGCAGCTACCTGGACACTGAGGTCAGGTGCCCAGCCCAAGGTTAGGCAGTGAGACTCTGTCAACCTGGGATAGGATGATTCAGTCAGAAGAGAAAATTCCAGCACTGCATTATTCAGTGGAAGAAGGCTGAACTTAATCTGGCCATATTAAAAGGCAAAGGCAAACAAAAGATTAATTGCATGCCAAGATTATTCTTCATAAAACTTGGCTTCCAGGAAT